TGAAACACAACTTTGTACTAATAAATATTAAACATGACTTGCATTAGCATACAGTATATGCTGAAGTTCACTGTACACATCACTGGCCGTTTTCAGGCTGCATCGTTAGTACAGGCATTAATAGCTATTCATCTAGTGGTCCTGTCAATCCACAACTCACCCTTGGATTGGAACAATTTCCAAGCCTAATGCACAGTCACTGTGAAGCCTGATGGATGTCTTAGTTGGGCTCAGAATGTGCAGTGTTTTAATAGTTCATCAACACAGTTATTCAGTCTGAGCTGAGTGAGATAGCACAGGGAACACAGCTGCTAATCATTGTTCTCCAAGAGCAGCCAGATCTGTTTCCTCACATGACGGGGATGTCAACAGTAGGGTTTTATTTGTAAAGGCGGCTTTATATAACAAACAGATAGATAGTATCACAAATAACCATTTACTTTCTGCTTTTCCCAAGGGAATACAAGGAATTCATTATTATGCCTACATAGAATTACAACCCCAATTCCAAAACATTGGGATACTGTGTAAAATCTACATAAAATCAGAATGCAATGATTTTCAAATCTCATAAAGCCATATTTTTTTCATAATAGAAAATTGGATATGTTTTCTATGTTTAAGCTGAGGAAATGTACCATTTTAAGAAAAAGGGTAATTTTGAATTTGATGGTAACAACACGCCTCAAAAAAGTTGGGACAGGGCCATGTTTACAGTGTAGCATCCCCTCTACTTTTAATGACACTCTGAAAACATCTGGGAACTGAGGAGGACAGTGGCTGGAGTTTTGGGAGAGTAAATCTGTCCCCTTCTTTCCTGATATAGGATTCTAACTGCTCAACAGTCCTGGGTCTTCTTTGTTGTATTTTTTTTTTCAAGATGGGCCAAATATTTTCAATTGGTGAAAGGTTTGGACTGCACGCAGGCCAGTTAAGCACCCAGACTCTTCTACCACAAATCCATGCTGTTGTCATAGGTGCAGTACGCGGTTTAGCTTTGTGCTGCTGAAATGTGCAAGGCTGTCTTTGAAAAAGATGTTATCTGGATTGGAGCATATGCTGCTCTAAAACCTGCATATTCTGTATCTTTCAGCATTGATGGTGCCTTTCCAGATGTGCAAGCTGCCCATTCCATGTGCACTAATGCACCCCATACCATCACAGATGCAGACACATGGACTGAGTGCTTATAACAAGCTCAAAAGCTGAAAGGTCCCTCTCCTCTATAGTTCAGAGGAGGCAGCGCCCATGATTGCCAAAAAGAATGTCAAATTTTGATTTGTCTGACCACAGAGCAGTTTTCTATTTTGCAACAGACCATTTTAAAGTGGAACTACACCTATGGATTTAACAGTTTCAAAAACAGTTACATTCTCAGCATGCCTACCTGTCACATTTGCTTGTGTTCTCAACCAAACTGTCAAACCACCAAATGGCTGGTGTCATAACTGATCACATGTGCAGCCCCACTGCAGTGGCAGATCAAACAGAGGTTAAGATGGCAGCTTCCTTAGCTGTAAAAGATAGGAGCCAGCATTTTACAGATTGGTGAACTTCTGCCTGTCTTTAATTCTGAGATACCATGACTCTCTAAGATGCCCTTTTTATATCCAATCATGTTGCTGACCTGTTGCCAATTAATCTAAAATGTTCTTTCAGCTCTTGTTAGTACCACTTACTTTGCCAGCTTTTTATTGCTCTGTCCCAACTTTTTGGAGATGTGTTGCTGTCATGAATTTCAAAATTACCTTATTTTTTTTTCTTGAAAAAACAAAATACTTAGTTTAAACGTTTGATATGTTTTCTATTTTCTATTGTGAATAATGTGGGTTTATGAGGTTTGCAGATCAGTGCATTCTATTTTTATGTAGATTTTACACAGCATACCACCTTTTTGGGAATTGATTGTAAAAATTAGAATACTGGTCTATAAATACATGTTCAAAGATGTTGTTATATCTGTGAAATGAACTATAAATGCCTTTCAGAAGAAACTACCATGTTTATTGAACACCTTCCTGCTTCTCTGCCCCTCCCCACATGAAGCCTAATGTTTTGCGGAACCCACAACAGTAAAAGCAGTCTGTATATGCAGTAAAAGCAGTCTCTATATGCAGTAAAGCATAGTCACTGTGGAACCTAAGGGGTAAAACCTCCCCATTGTGTAAAAAGGATGTTTTATTCTGTCTTCTTTGATCCTCCCCTTCTTCCACTGTCCCCAATATATCTCCTGATAGACCAGAGGTTTGGGGACAAGCAGCACATGCTCAGTTTGGTGTCTATTACTAGACAGAGTATTGTCCAGACAGACTGTCAGGGGTCCTGCAGCCTCATAGGGGTGAATGAAAACTCCCCCTATATGCTTTAATCAGTGCATCAGTGCTTTGCTGGACACTGATAGAAGTCACAAGACTGCTCTAACTTCTGATAAAAAAAGGTATTTAGCAGTTTATATTTACTAAAATAATTTTATTTCCATGTTCTGTGTACTGTGGGATACCACATATAGTGAATGCAGGGTCTTGAGTTTAGTATTTTAATTTCTGGGTATAAACTCAGGCAGAGCTCAGGGGCCGCTGCTTCTTTACTGTGTGAGAGTGCTTTCTTGTTTACTGTGTGAGAGTGCCTGTTGAGAGTGCTTTCAGTTTCCTTTTTCCACCCATTCTGCCTTTTCAAGCAGGGTCATCGTGATCCCCCACCCAGCAGATCCAGCTTTGTTGGTTGCTAGAACACCATATCATTGGTTGGTAGGACGCAGGTGGTTGGGCCACACAGCATCATGCATTTTCTTGCCAGCTAAAAAAAACGGTACCAAGCTCATGGCTACAGCTATAAGCTTGTTTTAACCACTTTATTAAAGGCCTTATGGACATCAAGTGTTTAAAGAATTTAGAATGACCTGATATTTTTAACGAGTTATCCTTTTTTTCTGGCCGTGATGTTCTAGAACAGGGGTGGGCAAACTTTTTGACTTGAGGGCCGCAATGGGTTCATATATTGGACCCGGGGGCCGGACCAAGAGTAGATGAATGATGTGTATGTGTCATCCATAGTAAGTATAGTAATATTCCCCCATAGTAAGCATAGTAATTAATCCCCCATATAGTAATTCATCCCCCATAGTAATTCATCCCCCATATAGTAATTCGTCCCCCATATAGTAATTCGTCCCCCATAGTAATTCATCCCCCATATAGCAATTCATCCCCCATATAGTAATTCATTCCCCATAGTAATTCATCCCCCCATATAGTAATTCATCCCCCATATAGTAATTCATCCCCCAAATAGTAATTCATCCCCCATATAGTAATTCATCCCCCATAGTAATTCATCCCCCATAGTAATTCATCCCCCACATAGTAATTAATCCCCCACATAGTAATTAATCCCCCATATAGTAATTCATCCCCCATATAGTAATTCATCCCCCATATTAATTCATCCCCCATATAGTAATTCATCCCCCATAGTAATTCATCCCCCATATAGTAATTAATCCCCCATAGTAATTCATCCCCCATTGTAATTCATCCCCCATATAGTAATTAATCCCCCATAGTAATTCATCCCCCATATAGTAATTCATCCCCCATATAGTAATTCATCCCCCCTATAGTAATTCATTCCCCATATTAATTCATCCCCCATATAGTAATTCATCCCCCCTATAGTAATTCATTCCCCATATAGTAATTCATCCCCCTATAGTAATTCATTCCCCATATAGTAATTCATTCCCCATATTAATTCATCCCCCATATAGTAATTCATCCCCCCTATAGTAATTCATTCCCCATATAGTAATTCATCCCCCTATAGTAATTCATTCCCCATATAGTAATTCATTCCCCATATTAATTCATCCCCCATATAGTAATTCATCCCCCTATAGTAATTCATTCCCCATATAGTAATTCATTCCCCATATTAATTCATCCCCCATATAGTAATTCATCCCCCCTATAGTAATTCATTCCCCATATTAATTCATCCCCCATATAGTAATTCATCCCCCTATAGTAATTCATCCCCCATATAGTAATTCATCCCCCTATAGTAATTCATTCCCCATATAGTAATTCACCCCCCCTATATTAATTCATCCCCCATATTAAGTCCCCAAGTCCCCCCTGTGTCAATTCACTTACCTTTGCTCCGCGCGTTCCTCTTGTTCCTCTTGTTCCCGCGCCGTTCGGTGTAGCATGAAAATCTGTCTCCAATGAGGATCTGTCCCCCTCGACGTATCTGCGCATGTGCCAGTTTCAGGCATTAGCAGCCGATCGGCGATCTCCGGCACATGCGCAGATACGTCGAGGGGGGACAGATCCTCATAGGAAACAGGGCGGACTGTGAGAGGAGCCTAGCGGGAGCCTAGCTCCGCGGGCCGGATTAAAAGGTCCGCCGGGCCGTATACGGCCCGCGGGCCGTAGTTTGCCCATTGCTGTTCTAGAACCAACTTACCCATAGTTTTCTGGTCCTGCGTTCACTTGCTGTGGCTATGTATATGGTGCAATCCCCTAGTCATGAGTGGACATACAGGGAAAAAGCTGTGGGTTGCATTTCTCAAAACTTACTGTGAGCTAGGCTGACAAATACTCTGCCTTCCTGTATTCCAGGGACCTGTCAAATTTCAAACAAAAAAAATGTAATAATAAAATTGAATAATTCCCAGCTCAACTTACCAACCAGCTTGCAAACAAACCCAATTAGCTTGTCTAACAGTCTGTTAAAAACAAGGGTTTAGTTAGCAAACATTTGCAAATACATGTGTAAGCTGCAGAGCCTCTTCATGTCACCCTGATATTCTGCAGTTCCTAACTCTACAAATTTTTAGAGCCCCCATAGTAGAGGCACATGCATTTAATTGATAGACTGAGGGCAGGTGAAACTGAGGGAGCCCACCCCTCCTTTAACCACCTCCCGCCCGCCATATAGTAATATGACGGGCGCGCAAGGTGGTTCTCTCATTCTGGGAGGACGTCATATGACGTCCTGCCATTCTCACTGCGCATGCGTGGCTCAGGGAGCGCGCAGCACGGTGATCGGCGGTGCGCTGTGTCCCTCGGACACAGTGGATCACTGATTATGGAAAGAGCCGAGGATGTCGGCTCTGTCATGTGATCAGCTGTGTCCAATCACAGCTGATCACATGTAAACAAGGAAATGCCGGTTATCGGCATTTCTCTCCTCTCGAGCTGTCACGCTGACAGCTCAAGAGGAGAGGAGAGCCGGTAATTGGCTTTCCGCGGAGGGGACATGTACACTGGTCATCAGGGCACTGATGATCAGTGTGCCCTGATGATCAGTGTAGCCCCAGCAGTGCCACCTGTCAGTGTCCATCAGTGCCTTATGTCAGTGCTCATTAGTGCCTCGTGCCAGTGCCCATCAGTGCCACATCAGTGCCCATCTGAGCTGCCTTTCAGTGTCACCCATCAGTGTCAGTCAGTGCCACCTATCAATACCAATCAGTGCCACCTATCAGTGCTGCCAATCAGTGCCGCCTATCAGTGCCAGTCAGTGCGCATCAGTGCCGCCTATCAGTGCCTATCAGTGCTGCCTAACAGTGCCAGTCAGTGCCGCCTAATAGTGCCAGTCATTGCCGCCTATCAGCGCCAGTCAGTGCCGCCTATTAGTGCCAGTCAGTGTCGCCTATTAGTGCCAGTCAGTGCCGCCTATCAGTGCTGCCTATCAGTGCCATATATCAGTGCCATGTATCAGTGCTGCCTTTCAGTGCCAATCAGTGATTCCTGTCAATACACATCAGTGCAACCTACCAGTGTCCATCAGTGCCACCTATCAGTGTCCATCAGTGCAGCCTATCAGTGGCCATCAGTGCACCCTCATTAGCGCACATCAGTGAAGGAGAAAAATCACGTATTTACAAAATGTTATAACAAAAACTAAGAAAAAACATTTTTTTCCTAAATTTTCAGTGGTTTTTGGTTTGTTTAAGAAAAAATAAAAAACCCAGAGGTGATTAAATACCACCAAAATAAAGCTCTATCTGTCACAAAAAAAATTATAAAAATTTCATATGGGTACAGTGTTGTTAGACCGCGCACTTGTCATTCAAAGTGTGACAGCGCTGAAAGCTAGAAATTGGCCTGGGCAGGAAGGGGGTATAAGTGCCCTGTAGGCTAGTGGTTAAGGAACAGGAGCGCACTGGACACCCAACATATAGCACAATGGCAGCTAAGGTGTCTAGTGCACCCCTCACACAACAAGTCAACAGTACCAAAAATGGCCACTGCCCCAGTCTATAACTGGTCTTCATAGCCAGGAGCACATGGAAGGGTGATGCATGTCAAACAATAAAAGAGAAAAATTCCCAGCTCAACTTACCAACCAGCTTGCAAACAAACTGAATTAGCCTGTCTAACAGTATGCGTTAAAAACAGGAAAATTTATTTAATGGATAGACTGAGGGCAGGTGTCAAATTTCAATCCACGTATGGACAGGGTGGTTGTACAGAAGTAAATCAACCAAGCAACATCTGTACATCTGCCCTGTATGAAAGTTTCCCCCTCAATCAACATCGCCAACTATAGCTGGCAAAAGTGATCAGTGTATTCTAACTGCATCCCTGCTTTCAGAATACAGTAGCCCAGTGGGGAGGATTCTCCCAACCACATCCATTGTATGGATGAGGGAATGAAGTCCTTTTTCTTTTCCATGCAACCCACTGGTTGAACAAAAAAAAAACAAAGCTGATGCATGCACTGCTTATGAAGTGTGTGTGTGTGTGTGTGTGTGGGGGGGGGGGGGGCCTGGGGGGCCTGGTGTTGTCTGCAAGTGATGAGATGAACTATAAAAATATGGTACTATAAAAAAAAGCTCTAAAAACTGAAGCATTGTTATTACCAAGTTGCTGTAAATACTTCACTTATTAACCTTGGAAAAAATGCGATTCTCTTTTAATGAGTTCATTAGCTTTCTTGTCTTAACAGCATTTACCGTATTTTTCTGTTAGTGCAGAGTTATTCTTTAAATAGTAATGGAGGCTTTTATATGAAAAAAAGCAGTCAGTACTTTGACTGTACATGAATTATTTGCGGCTGAATATTTTCCTTTGTAAGCCTGACTTCCTAGCCATTAAATTTTCATATGAGGCCTCCACAAGCCACATCAATTCCCTCCATGGCAGTCCCCACAAGGCATGTATACATATGTAGAAATGCTAATATGCTGTATTCTTTCCACACATTAGACGCTGCTAGTAGAAGCAGCGGCCTTTCTCTGAAATACGGCATAATTCTCTTATCCAAAGATCATTTTTACCCAAGTGATAAATGTGTTTCATGTTTAATGACCTTTAATTCCTTGGACTGATGGCTTAAAAAGGCGCAGCATCCCTTACAGGAAAAATGCATTTTCATTTTTTAAAACGGATCTGTCACATGTGATCATGGTGTTGTAGAGCAGATTGAAACAAAGCTCTAATCGCTCATACATATGTCAATTTGTACTGCATTTACTTGTAGCATCCTTCATTTAAGGGTGCATTTACGCCTGCAAATGCACCCTCACTCCTATTAGATGCGAGAACCCCAGCATGGCGGCTGTCATCTTGGTACACCTTTTCTTATGTATTTTATTACCAATGCTTGTATGGGTCTGCTGGCCTGATTTTAAAAGTTGAGTATTCTATACAGTATCTCACAGAAGTGAGTACACCCCTCACAATTTTGTAAATATTTTATTGTATCTTTTCATGTGACAACACTGAAGAAATGACACTTTGCTACAATGCAAAGTAGTGAGTGTACAGCTTGTATAACAGTGTAAATTTAAATAACTCAAAATAACTCAACACACAGCCATTAATGTCTAAACCGCTGGCAACAAAAGTGAGTACACAGAACCAGGAAAACTCATACAAATGAGCGCAGAGAGGCCACTCCAGGTGGAAACATGTGAACAGTTAATCATGAGCTCACCACTGCTGCCTTGTTAATCATATGCATGATGAAGAGAACTGGAAAAAAAGGCGCTGTGGAAAATGCTCTCAGACAAGCACCTTAGTGGAGGTGCATCTTTATTGGGTGAGATAAAGTAGCAAGTATAATAAAAAATTAACCAGCCTGAAGTGGACAGTGTGATTCCAATGGACGGCCCGTCCGCTCTGAGGGGAGCTGAGATCAAAGAATGCTCCTGTCGGCTTTAAATCACGTGGTGTCAGCGTACCAGCGTCCTGGGTGGTGTCACCATGGCAAACGAAGGCAGTGTCCGGCGTTGGCTTCAGCTGGGAGCATATGTGGGGTTACCAAGACGACATGTTTCGCGCAGTTGCGCTTTGTCAAGTCTCGAGCGCAGTTGCGCTTTCTCAGCTCCCCTCAGAGCGGACGGGCCGTCCATTGGAATCACACTGTCCACTTCAGGCTGGTTAATTTTATTATACTTGCTACTTTATCTCACCCAATAAAGATGCACCTCCACTAAGGTGCTTGTCTGAGAGCATTTTTCCACAGCGCCTTTTTTTCCAGTTCTCTTCAGTACACAGAACCAGCTTGCCATGGTTGTCTATGGCAAGCAGAGCACTAGGCAGCTTTGTAGCATCGTTTACCCATTTATCCATTTATTTAAAGGCAAGCAGTGCAGTGCATCACCAAGGAAGGATTTTTAATATTTATTATATATGTGTAACTTTCTACTTATTTATTTTTCATTTTTCATTTGCACACTTCTGATGGTTCATATGATTTTATGATTGTCACTAGTTTCAATGGTTTTATTTATACATATATATTTATATATGTGTTTGTAGATCTTTTGTGTTTACTTATACTATGTCAATTGCCCCTGTGACTCCTCCACCTGCATAGGGGAGTGTCCAGGACGGCTCATGTGACCTTTGGTTCAACTAGTAGTGAGCATATAAAAGAGGGAGCAGACATTTGGTCAGTTGGCTCTGTGAAGAGGCAAGTCCTCGAAGCGCATCAGCCTTTTGGATGTCTATACTCCCTAGTACGACTGTTACTCAGCGTGGTGTTGACCCAGCTGTTCTTTATGATGTGCCTTGATTATATTGTCGTTTGTGAGTACAACACCTACTTTATGTATTATTTTTTATTAAACATTTATTATGGTAATGCACTAGGCCTGTGCGCCCTCTGTTTTTTCTTTCAAAAAGTGAGTACACCCCTAAATGAAAATGTACAAATTGGGCCCAAAGTATCAATATTTTGTGTGGCCACCATTATTTTCCAGCACTGCCTTAACCCTCTTGGGCATGGAGTTCTCCGGAGCTTCACAGGTTGCCACTGGAGTCCTCTTCCACTCCTCCATGATGACATCATGGAGCTGGTGGATGTTAGAGACCTTGCGCTCCTCCACCTCCCATTTGAGGATGCCCCACAGATGCTCAATAGTGTTTAGGTCTTGAGACATTCTTGGCTAGTCCATCACCTTTACATTCAAATTCTTTAGCAAGGCAGTGGTCGTCTTGGAGGTGTGTTTGGGGTTGTTATCATGTTGGAATACTGCCCTGCGGCCCAGTCTCTGAAGGGAGGGGATCATGCTCTGCTTCAGTATGTCACAGTACATGTTAGCATTCATGGTTCCCTCAATGAAATGTAGTTCCCCAGTGCCGGCAGCACTCATGCAGCCCCAGACCATGACAATCCCACTTGACTGTAGGCAAGACACAATTGTCTTTGTACGCCTCACCTGGTTGCCGCCACACACGCTTGACACCATCTGAACCAAATCAGTTTATCTTGGTCTCATCAGCGCACAGGACATAGTTCCAGTAATCCATATCCTTAGTCTGCTTGTCTTCAGTAAATTGCTTGCGGGCTTTCTTGTGCATCATCTTTGGAAGAGGCTTCCTTCTGGAATGACATGCCATGCAGACCAATTTGATGCAGTGTCAGGCATATGTCTGAGCACTGATAGACTGACCACCCACCCCTTCAACCTCTGCAGCAATGCTGGCAGCACTCATATGTCTATTTTCCAAAGACAACCTCTGGATATGACCTTGAGCACAGACACTCAACTTCTTTGGTCGACCATGGCGAGGCCTGTTCTGAGTAGAAGCTGTCCTGTTAAACCATCGTATGGTCTTGGTCACCATGCTGCAGATCAGTTTCAGGGTCTTGGCAATCTTTTTATAGCCTAGGCCATCTTTATGTAGAGCAGCAATTCTTTTTTTCAGATCCTCAGAGAATTCTTTGCCATGAGGTGCCATGTTGAACTTCCAGTGACCAGTATGACAGAGAGAGAGCGATAATACCAAATTTAGCTCCCCATTCACTCCTGAGACCTTGTAACATTAACAAGTCACATGATACCAGGGAGGGAAAATAGCTAATTGGGCCCAATTTGGACATTTTCACTTAGGGGTGGACTCACTTTTGTTGCCAGCGGTTTAGACATTAATGGCTGTGTGTTGAGTTATTTTGAGGGGACAGCAAATTTACACTGTTATACAAGCTGTACACTCACTACTTTACATTGTAGCAAAGTGTCATTTCTTCAGTGTTGTCACATGGAAAGATATAATAAAATATTTATAAAAATGTGAGGGGTGTACTCACTTCTGGGAGATACTGTACTTGGTTTTTTATACATTAAACATGGACGTTTACACTATGAG